CCTGGCCATTTTTTGGTTGCAGCCATCATTGTTGTTTGGCGGGCCCGGGCTGGGGATTCAAACCCACCACCTTAGGTGTATGTGGCTGGCGCCTTAGCCGCTTGAGCCACAGGCGCCGAGCCAGCCCAGGCATTCTTAGGAAGGTGGAGTCTCTCAGGTCAAATTCTCATGTGAGAGAAGCAGTTGATTCCAAATTGCTCCTTATAAGGGCAATAATTGTGCCGTAGCTGTGTAAAGAGGTACATACAGACGGTGCCAAAAATTTAATACAGTTTTAAGAAAGGAAAAACTGTATTGAAATTGTAATAATAAGCCAGCACAATGGCCCACACCTGGGAGGCTGAAGTGGGTAGATTGCTTAATCTCAGAAGTTCAAGACCAGCCCTAGCAAGAGTAAGATCCTATCTACTAAAAACAGAAAAATTATCCGGGCATTGTAGTGGGCACTTCTAGTCCTAGCTACTCAAGAGGCTTAGGCCAGAGGATTTCTTTCTTTTCTATTTATTTATTTATTTATTTATTTGAGACAGAGTCTCACCCTATCACCCTGGGTAGACTGCCATAGCATCATAGCTCACAGCAACCTCAAACTCTTGAAGGTGGGGTGTCACTCTTGCTTAGGTTGGTTTCTAACTCCTGAGCTCAAGTGATCCACCCACCTCAACCTCCCAGAGTGCTAGGATTACAGGCGTGAGCCACCATGCCCAGCCTTCAAGAGGATGTCTTGAGCCCAGGAGTTTGAGGCTGTGAGCTATGACGCTACTGCACTCTACCCAGGATGACAGAGGGAGACTGTCTAAAAAAAAGAAAGAGACCAATTCACTGGAGTTGCACCGGAGATTGAGGGTCCTAGTATATTGCAAATATGTCTATTATGTCCTATAATGGAGGGGCCATCATGGCCATGAAGGGGAAGAACTGTGTGGCCATCTCTGCAGACAGGCGCTTCGGTATCCAAGCCCAGATGGTGACCACGGACGTCCAGAAGATCTTTCCCATGGGTGACCGTTTGTACATCGGTCTGGCCGGCCTCGCCACTGATGTCCAGACAGTTGCCCAGTGCCTCAAGTTCCAGCTGAACCTGTATGAGTTAAAGGAAGGTCGGCAGATCAAACCTTATACCCTCATGAGTATGGTGGCCAACCTTTTGTATGAAAAACAGTTTGGTCCCTACTACACTGAGCCAGTCATTGCTGGGTTGGACCTGAAGACCTTTAAGCCCTTCATTTGCTCTCTAGACCTCATTGGCTGCCCCATGGTGACTGATGACTTTGTGGTCAGTGGCACCTGCACTGAACAAATGTATGGGATGTGTTAGTCCCTTTGGAAGCCTAAGATGGATCCAGAACACCTGTTTGAAACAATCTCCCAAGCCATGCTGAATGCCATGGACCGGGATGCAGTGTCAGGCATGGGAGTCATCGTCCACATCATTGAGAAGGACAAAATCACCACCAGGACACTGAAGGCCCGAATGGACTAACCCTATTCCCAGAGCCCCCCTTTTTTTTTTTTTTTTTTTTTAAATAAAATAGGCTTTCTTTCAAAAAAATAAAAAATAAAAAAAAGAAAGAAAGGGCGGCACCTGTGGCTCAGTGAATAGGGCACTGGCCCCATATACCGAGGGTGGCGGGTTCAAACCCAGCAATGGCCAAACAGCAATCAAAAATAGCCAGGCATTGTGGTGGGCGCCTGTGGTCCTGCTACTTGGGAGGCTGAGGCAAGAGAATCACCTAAGTAAGCCCAAGAGCTGGAGGTTGCTGTGAGCTGTGCACTCTACCGAGGGCAATAAAGTGAGATTCTGTCTCCAAAAAACAAAATTAAAAAAGAAAGAAAAATTGTAATAATATATACCAGTAACATTTGTTATCTTGTATATTGTATCTTGTATCTCTTGTAATTGCAGAAATCAAACATGACTTGAGTATTACAATTTTAATATAGTTTTTTTTCTTAAAATGTATATATTTTTGGCACACTCATTTTTTGGGGGGGTTCACATTTTTATTGGGGATCTAAGAAGAGGAGCCTCCTCCTTGTCTACAGAAGTGCTCAGAATTTCTCCAGCCACTCCAAGTTTGGGCCTCGGAGGCCTGAGAGTGACTGGGCACTTCAGGCACATCCTGACCATCTTGGACAGGCAAAGGCACTAGGGAGTTATGGGGTGGCGACTGGTGAATGGTGATGGTGTGTCTGGTGCAGAAGTTGGGTGGCAGCAGACCAGTTGGTGGCTCTTGATGATGAAGGACACAGCCAGCAGCATGTCCTTGGCCCAGGCATTCTTAGGAAGGTGGAGTCTCAAGCCATCTTGGTTTCAGAGTCTGCATAAAGAGTATTATTAAATCATTGATGTCAAAGACATGCTCTCTGCCATGTGATCCTCAGATGTTTCAGATCACCCTCTATTTTGCTAGCATGTTTGGACTTTCAGCAGAGCTAATCTCAATTCTTTTGCTGTCAAATTTCATGCTATAAAACCATGGTCTCCAAAGAACAAGGAGGTAATCAGTCAGCCTTCAAGACGCAATAACTTTCACAGAGCCCTTTCATCTGTGAACCTCTGATGCGTGTTCTAGAGTTCTGTTTTTTGGTTCTTTGTTTTTGTTTTTCAGACAGTGTCTCCCTCTTTTGCCAGGGCAAGAGTGCACTGGCATCATCATGGCTGACTGCAACTCAAACTCTTGGACTCAAGTGATCCTCTTGCCTCAGCCTCCTGAATAACTGGGAATACAGGTGCCTTCTACAATGCCTGGCTAATTTTTAAATTTTTTTGTAGGAGTGAGGTCTCACTGTGTTTCTCAGACTGTTCTTAGTTTCCTGAGCTCAATGGATCCTCCTACCTCTGCCTCCCAGAGTGCTAGGATTACAGATGTGAGTTACTACCCCCAGCCTGTTCTAGAGTCCTGTAGAAGGCCTTCCTAGAGAATTAAAGTCTTTGCTATTCTATATATTGCTTAATAAAACTCAGAGCAAGGCTTGGCGCCTATAGCTCAACAGGCTAAGGTGCCAGCCACGTACACCTAAGGTGGCGGGTTCGAATCCCCAGCCCGGATCCGCCAAACAACAATGACGGCTGCAACCAAAAAATAGCCAG